TCTGCCCCCTGAACCTGCATGAATTTGGTGGGGGGGCATGGCCCTCGGAGGCACCGCTGCCCCGTTGTCTCCTGGTGCTCCTTTGTGCCTCCCCACTCCTGCCCAAGAATGTCCCGGCTCTGAGATCTCAGTGAAGGAAGTGGCCTCACACCCGAGGAACCTGCAGTGCCGGGGCCTCTTCCTGGAGACGCGGGACTGCCGTGCCCAGGTGGGCAGACTGCGGCTCCCACCCAGGGAATTCCCATACCCAGTCGGGGAAAGCGAGAGTGACAGCCTGGCTGTGGCGATCCGGCGAGCAGAAGGGTTTTCTCACTGGATGCAGCCTGGTCCCCTGGGTGACAGCTGTGCCCTTCTCAAGGCCCTCCCTCCTTTCCTCCCTCATTAGGGGCTGCTAACGCCACTGGGCGGCTACCAGAGGGTTTATGTTTCAGCAAATTGGAAGTAACTGGACGTCACAGCAGGGTCTGTGCTGCAGCTCTGGTGACCTCAGAGCACCCTCTGGCCAGCTCCAGGCCGAGGGTGCGGGCAGGTGTGAGTGGGTGTCAGGGAGGCCCCTGTTCTCCAAAGGAAAGGGCACCGGTTCCCTCAGGAGCTGCTCCTGACAGAGGGGTGCTCTCGAGGGCGCCTCTGGAGGCTGGGGTGGGTGGGAGTGGTCTCCACCAGCCCCCTGGGCTCAGCCCCCTCCTGTTGGAGGAATGCCTGAGCTCTCAGAAATAAGCTCACACCGCCCTTTTGGCTATGCCGGTTACCGGAGGGTTTAGGCGGCGAGACCTCCAGGAAGGTTAGTCAGCGGATGAGGAGAGCAGGGAGCAGCCCCGCCTGGCCAATACGCCCCTCCTGGGAGCTGTTAATGTCCCACCATGCACCTGAGCTTCGGAAGCACCAGGAACAAGGCAGAGACATGGTCAGGCAGCCTGGGTGGCGGCCAGCCCAGCACCTTAGGGGTTATGGTAAATGAGAGAATCCCCCTCTTACGTCGGGGGAAGCCGGGAAAGCCCGATACTTATGGGGGGTTTTGCCTGCCAGTCAAACCACTGTCCAGAAGCCTCAGACATGAGGGGTTTTGTTCTGGCGAAAGGGGAGGGAAATACTAATTAGAACAGCATAACTGGTCGTCAGAGTGATCACGGGCACGTGGACTAAAGACCTCCTCCCCAGACTCAGCTCAGCACACCCTCAAAATCGGACCTGCCCTTCTGATGCTGCCTGGGAGGTGAACTGAGGGCAGCTCTCCGAACTGGGACGAGCTTGCTGAAGTGGCGGTGTCTACCACTTGGGGTGGGCGAAGGCCACCTGATCACACAGGCCGGGCCACGTCCGGAGAAGAAAGTCTCTTTGAAAGACGTGACTTGTGGTTCCTGTCCATCAGCCTCTTTTCTTGGTTACCTCTGTCCCTCCCTCTCAGGGGAGGATGTCCTTGTGTGTACATCCAGGGCGGTGTCTGTCTGTGTCTCTTGCCCTTCCTACAACAGGCTGGGGCAGATATCGAGGCCCTCCTGACAGCCCCATCAATGTGGGGAAACACTGCGACTTGCCCAGGGATGCGACCCCTGGGAAGGGCAGGATTTCGGGCCTGTGAACCTCCCTGGAAGGGCCCCTCTAGGTGGAGCCCAACCCTCGTCCTGCAGTGGTGGGTTCCAGCCTGCTCCTCACCGGGTTCAGGAACCATCTTGGCTGACCGGCAGCCCTCCTTCACCCAGGACTGTGAGATTTCTGATAAGGAGGGTGGCTTCCAGGCCGGCCCGGAGTCGGGGGCCACCACTGAGCCTGGAACCAGCACGTGCTGATGGTACAGGGGCAGGCCTCCGCATGGAGGGCAGAATCTAGGCGGCCGAGAGGCCCGTGAGTCTCCCTCACTAAGTGACTGGGAACCGCCCAGGGACGGAGCCAGGCCTTGGGTTTCACAGCCAGGCTGCCGGCACCTGGCGCTGTGGTGGGGGTGGGGAGCCAATTCACATGCAGAGTGACCCACGACAGGGGGTCGGGGGTGTGTGTGGGGGTGGTCTGTGGTCCCGCAGCCCCGCATCACTTGGGTAGGCAATGACCCCCCACAAGCACCAAGGCTTCTCAGAAGAGGGGTACTCACGGTCGTGGTGAACTGGCCTCCGTGGAGCTGTGGCTGAGAGCCCCTCCTGGGAAGAGCGGGGGAGGCGCTCTGGAGGCCCTCATCAGAGAGCACCCCAGGGAGGCCCGGGCCGCTGCCCCCCGACGCGCACTGTGAAGACACAGAGCTCCTGATCCCTGGGAAGAGGAGCAGAGTTAGGGCCAGGCCACCAGCGCGACCACGTGCCCCTCCTGCCTACGGTGCCGGGCGCTCAGGGGCCCCTGAGGCTTGTAAATGGAGAATGAGGCGTTTTCTGCTCAATGTTCAGATTCATAACGGGACAACCTCTGAGGCTGGGTCAGAGCAGAAGGGACGGCGTTGCTGGAGGTCAGACACCACTTGTGCTCATGGACCAGTGCTTCCTGACCTGCTTGTCTGAAATCAGAGCAGATCCAGTGTAGACGCGGGACCGGGAGGGAGTCTCCACAGCAGGAAGCCTCCGGCTCACACAGGCGGCTCCGGGATGTGCACGTCAAAGGGGAAAAACAGAAAATGAGGCCAAAGAAGGGCCACACGCCCGAAACAAAACGCTGGAACAAGACGGGTGTGGGCGTATGGCCTCCCCGAGGTCTTCCCGCGGAGCTGTCGGGGGCCTGGCCTGTATCACCCCAGACCGAGCCGCAGCCGAGGGTCCAGGCCGTGGGGTGGCATCCCATGGCGGGGACCTGCACTCTGGGCCCCGTGTGGGCACAGTCACAACCTCCCGTGTGGCGGGCGGGTGGCTTTCCCCACACGCTTCTTTGGAGTAGTCAAGAGTGTTGTTTCTGCCCCGAGCTGAGGCGGCCGAGCTGAGCCCTCCAACATAGCCCTCCACTTCGTCCTTACATCCTGGCTCCGGTGCTGGAGAGTGCAGTTGCTCTGGGCTGGCCATGCTGCTGGGCATGTCCCCAGTGTGCTTCCCGTGCAGTGGCTGCTGCCTCTTCTGAGCAGGTCCCAGAAGTACCTGGCCCACCTGGGCTCCCCTGCAGGTGTCAGGTGCAGAGACGGTGGCTGGTGGCAGCACACACAGACATGTTTTCATGGTGGCAGTAGCACATTTTGGGCTCCAGAGGACTCTTGTCCCAGGTGGTGTGGCCCCAAGGACGGGCCGCACTGGGGCTGTGGAGGGGGTTTCTCCAGGAGACCTCGCCGAGCTGAGGAAAGCTGAGACCTGCGGTCTACACACGCAGGCCGCTGAGGTGGCCAAAACCAGCGTGAGCTCCGCCAACAATGTCCCCTTGCTCCTCGCGGGAGTGTGTGCTGGCTGGCACTTTCACAAGATGCTGCTTCGCTGGGATGTCAGTGATGTACAGTAAACTGCACATCTCTGAAGTGTGCAATCTGACAGCAGTGAACACACACACACCGGCGTGCCCTCCATGTACCGTGACACGCGTGTGCCCGTGGTCAGGAGAGCACACGTGTGTCGCTCACGCACCCCTTGTGCCCGTTTCCACACTGCAGTGCGAACTGACCGGGCGAGTCCAGGCTGCTCCTCCTCCTGGGCCCTCTGTCTGTCCCCTCCCCCTCCTGGGCCCTCTGTCTGTCCCCTCCCCCTCCTGGGCCCTCTGTCTGTCCCCTCTGCCTCCTGGGCCCTCTTTCTGTCCCCTCCCCCTCCTCGTCTACTTCTTTTGGACTGAGTGTTCCTTATGACTCCATTTTATCTCCTTTGTTGGCGTATTAGCTGTAACTCTTCCGTTTGTTATCTCAGGTGGTTTTGGGTTTATAATCTATATGTAGTGCACCATAATCTACCTTCATGTGACATCGTTTCCCCATGAAGCCTCAGGACAGCGAGTCCCTCTGGCCGAGCGTGGGCCTCGCACACAGGCCTCGAGGGCATCAGTGCTGTCTTCACACTGCCCGGTTTGAGTGGCCAGTTACCCTCCACAGAGACGTGAACAGAAGAGGAAACCTGCACGTGCCCCGTGGACCTCCTTTCTAGACACGCAGCATCCTTTTCCTTCTCCCTGAAGGCCGTCCTTCAACATTTCAGGTCTGCTGGTCATGAAATGTTTTAGCTTTGCTATGTACGAACATGTCTTTATTTCACTGTTTTTGAAAGATGTTCTGTTGGCTATGAATTCTGTTTTGACAGTTTCCATTTAAGTCCCTAGAGATGCCGCGCACTGCCCTCACCTGCGGTGTTTCCGACAACACCGGCCGCCGTCCTCCCTTCTCTCCCTCGCTGGTTCTGCCCCATCTGACTCATTTCCTCTCATCGTGTGTATGTCTCCTCCCTCTGTGCTGCAGGTGCTCTGGTGGGAGGCCAGCTGTGGATCCACCTTGTCGGGTGTGGGGGCTCTGTTCTGGGACGTGGCCAGGTTGCCTGGAGACCGTGTGACGCTCTCGGGTCTTGCTGTCACAACCAGGTGGTGCGTCAGGAGCAGCGTCCTGTCTGGTCACTCCTTCCTCCTGAGGCAGGCCCTGCTGAGGCCTCGCCCCATGGCCCGGGGATCGTGAGCGTCCCCATCTGGCTTTGGGGACAGCAGGCAGGTGAGTGTGCAGGAGCGTTCCAGCCTCTCAGAGGTTTCCCGGCCCTGCGTGGCCTCCTCACACGCTGTGCTGACCAGTACTGTGCTGGACTCTGGGGCACCCATCTGTCAGCGGCCTCTCGCTGCTCAGCTCTCTCCTACTCCGCCCTGCAAACCCACTGTCTTGGTCTTCCCCACTCGGGGGTCACTGGGCTCCCTGCACCGTGGCCTGGGAACCCTCGAGGCGGAATCATCTCCCTGTCTCTCAGGGTCACGGCCCTTTGTAGCCGGATGTCCTGTGTCTTGAAATCTTTCGTTTCATGTATTTTGTCGGTTTGTTGTAAATCTGTTCCTTGCTACCTCATCTTGGCTGGAAGTGGAAGCTTTTTCTTCAATAAAAGAAAAATTCTAATTTGTTTGAAAACTTTTGAAAGTATATTAAATCAAATGAAACAGACGAACATGTGAACTGTTTCCCCCACCCAAACCCGCTGCCGGGGCTGGAGCGTGCGCTGCTCCAGCACGAACATGCACTCACGTGTGGAAGGCTGGCTCCCTGTCTCCAGCTTGTCCTCCTCTATACAGGTGCTGATATCGCACGGCCAGGGGCAGAGGGTAGGGCTCAGCAGGCCCCGGTGGGCCAGGCTGGTGGACACGTGCAGGGTCGGCTGCCCCAGGGCAGAGGAGGCCTGGCTGCTGGAGGAGGAAGTGCTGCTGTCCGAGATGGTGGAGTGCGGTCTCTTGAAGGGGGCGGTGTGGTCACAGGAGGGCACAGCTATGGACGCTCGGGTTCGTGACCCTGGAAGGGGACAGAAAGCAAGTTGGTCTGGCCTCTGTTCCAAAAGTGTGGCCTAGATTCAAGGACAAGACGGCTGTCTGGAAAACTGACCAGGTTCCTCAGGCATCATGTGGCTGCCACCTGTCCAGCCTGCCATGCGGGCCCACACGGCCCGTGATGCACTCCAGGCAGGGCAGAGTGCAGGCGAGGGCCGGGGCTGTGTTACCTGTTCCCTGCATGATGTAATCGATCGCCCGGTCATTTATGGCCGCGTCGCTGGGCTTGATGTCCACGAACGGTTTGTCGCCCATCCCCATAGACACCATTTCCTGCCTTCTGAGTTCTAAAATAGAAGAATGTAGACAGTTTTCCAAGCTTCTCCTTGGTTTGATGCCACCCCTGACGACGCTCTGCACCCCTGACACCGTCAGTCCAAACCAGGAGCATGTCAGGGCCTGGCCCAGCCCCGCGTCCCCGGGTGTGCTGGGCCCCCATTTCAGCACACGCATCTGATCTGGCCTCACAGTGGCCTCCTTCAGGGAGCCCAAGGGAGTGGACCAAGAAAAAGGAAGACATGGGACCTTGGAAACTGAGTGTCCAGCCAGGGAAGGAGGGAGGGTCCCTGTCTGCTGATGCAGGCAGGTGGGCTGTGCACCCGGCCCAGCTTGGAGTGAGCGAGAGAGGCCTCCAGGAGAGGCGTGGCCACAAGAAAGACAAACTGACAGATGTCTGCGTGTCTTTGAATACAGAGAGGAGGTCTAAGCATAGAGTGAGAGTTTGAGAGTGAATTAATCCTTAGTAAAACCAAGCAAAGAAAAAAAATAATAATTATAGTTGGTGGGGGGATGGTAAGGGAGGAGCAGGAGCAGAAGTGACCCGGGAGGGGGACAGGTACCAGGCCATGTGGGCTTCCTGCTCCTCGTAAAGGCTGGCTCCACTCCAAGGGGACTGAGGGTCCCCTCAGGATGCCACTGGGCATCCTGAGCAAAGTTGCCGTGTACATGCATGTGTGTGTGCGTATGTATGCATGTCTGTGTGTATACATGCATGCCTGTATCTGTGTGTGCACATCTCTGTGTGCATGCATCTCTGTGTTTCCACGACTGTGTGCACATGCCTGTGTGTGCATGTATGTGCCTGTATGTATATGTCTGTGTGCGCACGTGTCTGTGTATGCATGTCTGTGTGCATGTGCATGCATGTGTCTCTGTGTGTGCATGTATCCGTGTGTGTGCATGTGTCGGTGTACCCATGTCTGTGTGTGTGCATGCATGTATCTGTGTGTGCACGTATCTCTGTGTGTGCATGTATCTGTGTGTGTGCTTGTGTATCTGTGTGCATGCATGTATCTCTGTTTGCACGTGACTGTGTGTGCACATGCCTGTGTGTGCATGTATGTGTCTGTGTGTGCACGTGTCTGTGTATGCATGTCTGTGTGCATGTGCATGCATGTGTCTCTGTGCATGTATCTGTGTGTGTGCACGTGTCTGTGTGTGCAGGTATCTGTGTGTGTGCATGCATGTGTCTCTGTGTGTGCATGTCTGTGCATGTGCATGTGTCTCTGTGTGTGCACGTGTCTGTGTGTGCAGGTATCTGTGTGTGTGCATGCATGTGTCTCTGTGTGTGCACGTGACTATGTGTGTGTAACAGCTAGACCTTAGCTTAGCATGAGGGAAGCCATCTTAGGGAAAGGAAGCGATCCTGTAACTGGGACCCTGACTCACTAGTCTCTGAGAATGCACTCTGGCCTTCCTGTAGCCTAGATGATTAAGCAGCTTTCACTTTTGCAAAATACACGATCTTCTAGTTCTATGACTCTTGCTTATGTATACCTCCCAGCTGTGATAAGATGATAACTTTGTTTTTTGAGTTCCCCAGGAACATGATGACCTCCAGAAAGAAAAATTCTGCATTGGTACCTGTCACAAATGACAGAAGAAAGAGATAATTTGGTGCCTTAAAGTTTATCACACCAGATGGTTAATGTCCCTAAACCCCCTCCTTCCCTGTCCATTTCCCCTATATAACTGCCTCACGATTCTGTGTGATTTTAAGATGGTTCTTTAGGACACTAGTCTGCCATCTTTAGATTATCCTAGCTAATCATATAAACTTTCCTTTCTCAACAACCGACTCGTTCACAATCGATTGACACCAGATTGTGGCGAGCAGAAGGAGCCCCTTTTCACTCTGTTACATGTGCATGTGTCTGTGTGTGCACGTCTGTGTGAGTGCACGTCTGTGTGTGAATCCACGTGTCTTTCTGTGTGCACATGTCTGTGTGTGCATGTGTCTCTGTGTGTGCACGTGTCTCTGTATGAATGCATGTGTCTTTCTGTGTGCACCTGTCTGTGTGTGCACATCTGTGTGTGCACATGCCTGTGTGTGAATTCATGTGTCTTTCTGTGTGCACGTCTGTGTGTGCATGTCTCTGTGTGTGCACGTGTCTGTGTGCACATCTGTGTGAATGCACGTTTTTCTGTGTGCCCACGTCTGTGTGTGCATGTGTCTGTGTGTGCATGTGTCTGTGTGTGCACGTCTGTGCGTGCACATGTCTGTCTGTGAATACACGTGTCTTTCTGTGTGCACGTCTGTGTGTGTGCAGGTGTTTTTTTTGTGTGTGTGAGGAAGACCAGCCCTGAGCTAACATCCAATGCAAAGCCTCCTCTTTTTTGCTGAGGAAGGCTGGCCCTGGGCTAACATCCATGGCCACCTTCCTCTATTTTATATGGGACGCTGCCACAGCATGGCTTGACAAGCAGTGTGTCGGTGCATGCCCGGGATCTGAACCTTCGAACCCCGGGCCGCTGCAGCAGAGTGTGTGCACTTAACTGCTACACCACTGGGCTGTCCCCATGTGTGCACGTGTCTGTGTGTGCACGTGTCTCTGTGTGTGCATGTGTCTGTGTGTGCACATGTCTGTGTGTGAATGCACATGTGTGTGTGTGCAGGTCTCTGTGTGCACGTCTGTGTGTGTGCATGTGTCTCTGTGTGTGCACATGTCTGTGTATGCATGTGTCTGTGTGTGCATGTCTGTGTGTGAATGCACATGTCTCTGTGTATGCACGTGTCTGTGTGCACCTGTCTGTGTGTGTACATGTGTTTGTGTGTGCACATGTACATGTGCATGGGGGTCTACATCTTGAAGGAGGTGGCAGTGGGGAAGCTGTGCAGCATCTCTGGTGACAAGTTAAGGCTCTGGCCAGGATGGCAGCCGCTGAGGGGCCAGGAAGTCGTGTTTGGATGTTCAGACATTACAGCCCTCAGGGTTTCTCAGACTTAGGGGGTCAGAGTTGCCAGCAGGACGGCCGTCTTGGAGGGGTCACTATGAAGATGGCATTTGTAGCAGCCAGACTGGATGAACTGCCACCTTGTGAGTGTAGACAGAGGCGCCACAGTGACGAAATCAGAGGAGAGGAGAGACCGAGGGGCAGACATCAAGGAGGAGGAAACCCGAGGGTCCTGGCAGCAGGGACGAGGTACTTCACGGAGGAGAGGCCCTCACCCACGGGGAGACCACAGGCTAGCCATCGGCCCAGCTCCAGGAGGTCAGGGGGCCTTGACAACGGTGGGGCAGAAAGCTGAGCCCAGTGGGTCTAAGGGAGTCAAGGAGCTGGAGTGTGAGACCGTCTCTAGAGTTGCTGTGTGCGGGTGTTGTTCATATTTGTTTTAAGGAGAAATAAGTGTTTTTGTGTGGTCACAGGAAAGATCCAGTCACTTCCTCGTAAATGGTGCTGAGGGGCCTCCTCGGGGTCACCAGCTGGGCCTGGGCCTCTCAGGCCATCTGCCCCAAACAGGCCCCAAATGCCTGTCCCAAACCAGGTCCCTGAACACGGAGCTGGCCCCACAGCCCTCTCTCGCCCACCTCTGTTCCTCAGAGCCTGCTGCCACAGGATCTTCCCTATGGCATGGGTCCAGGCGGCCTTGACCTCTGTGGAGCTCGCCTGGAGAATGTAGGTGTCCTGGGACTTCCACCGTCTGCGGAACCAGATCTCAAACCTCAAGCCGCTGTCTCCGACGTTCTCCGTCATCCCAATCTCAGCCGTCTGCAGGCACAAGAACCAGAAGGGCAACACCGTCAGGAACCACAGGTCCCCTCTTGGAATAACTGACCACTCTCTGGCTGACCTTGACCCCAGTGCCTCAGTGCTGGAGGTCCCTTCACTCAAACACCAAACAGTGTGGACAAGGCCGGTCCCGGGGCTCTCGGGGTACAGGATGGATCGAGTCCCCCCACGTCCACACTGGCTCCCTCTGGAGAAACAAGGGCTGGACTGAAGGTTCTGTGGCGCCCTCTGGCTGTCTCACGCTGGATGGGGTCACGGGCCCCCTGAGGTGCTCCTCAGCTCTGGTAGGTAAGGGTTGTGGGTTTGAGCTCCTCCTGGGAGCTTCACCCCAAGAGCCTCCATCAGGGAGGGACAGGTGGGCCACCCCGAGACCCGCCCGAGACACGGGAAGGCCTCTTCCCGTGTTCACCTTAACCAAACCATGAAATGAAGTTACTGATTGAGGAGACATTTGTTTTCCAGCTACTGAACCGGCTCACAGAACCAGCAAGGACAGACATCTCCTTGCAACTTTTGAAGACCTGAGGTTTCCAAAGTTCAGCCAAAGAGCCACAGAAAATAACAATCATGAGGCCCCGCCGGTCTCCAGTGGACCGGGTCCTGACGTGTTACCTTGAAGGACTGCTTGTACTCGTAGATGTCGTGGCCTCCGTCTACCTTTTTGGTCTTGCTAAACAGGATGAGCTCTTCAAAAAGGAACACGTGCCTCAGGTACTTCTTCCTTCCACAGCAAACGACGAACTCGTCCTGGCATCTGAGCTGCCCCTGCTCCTTCAGGTTCACCTGCAGACGGAGCACACCTCCCTTAGGGCCCTGGACCTTGCGGAGGGGGAGGGGCTGCGGACCGCGCTCAGTCACCAATGGCCAGTGATTTAATCAATCACACCTGCGTAATGAAGACTCCATAAAACCTCAAAAGGACAGGCTTTGGAGAGCTCCCAGGTTGGTGAACACGCGGAGATTAGGGGAGAGTGGCGGCTCAGAGAGGACGTGGAAGCTCTGCGCCCTTCCCCACACCTTGGCCTCTGCATCTCTTCATCTGGCTGTTCCGGACTTAAATCCTTTTATAATAAACCAGTGATCTAGTGACTAAAACATTTCTGAGTTCTGTGAGCTGCCCTAGCAAAGTAATTGGACCCAAGAAAGACTTGGTCATGGGAACCTCCCATCTATAGCTCATCGGTCAGAAGGCAGGTGACAACCTGGACTTGTGACTGGCGTCTGAAGTGTGTGTGTGTGTGTGTGGAGGGGGGTGGGGGCAGGCTCACAGGAACAAGCCCTTAACCTGTGGGATCTGATGCCATCTCCAGGTTGATAGAGTCAGAAGTGGATTAAATTGTATGACACCCAGCTGGTGTCCGAGAATTGCTTGGATGAGTGGGGCAAAGACCCACCCACTGTGATGGGTGCAGAATCCGACGGTGGGGTCCCTTGTGAGCATGTGCCCGCTCGTCTGCAAGGAGGTTACATGAAAGCCCCTCCTTCAATTTCACTCGACCTTCCCCTTGAAAGCCCTTTTGTTCATTTTTTGTGTGTGTGTGAGGAAGATCAGCCCTGAGCTAACATCCATGCCAATCCTCCTCTTTTTTTTTTTTTTGTGAGGAAGAT